CATTTTTAGCGAACTCTCGTGTTAACTACGTTTATTTTCTAACTAGACGCCATTTTGAAGATATTTTCAACAAGAGAAAATGCGTATAAATTGTTTTCCTATCATTTCTATCACAGCATTATCGTTTGTTTGTAATCTTATCTTCACGCTGCAGATGTCCAGTAGCCACCCCTGGGAACTAAATTTTAAATGTACAGGCCATTTTAAGCAATATTGTGGTCTAAAATATTTCATCTTCTCTCGGATCGCGAGCATATCTTCATAAAAATATTTATGACTGTTACCAGGTCTCAAGTAAAAGCTGGTACTATGTTTACTCTCCTCTTTCAGTTATATCGTTTCAGTCCAGACCTCAAATCGAACTCATATATACGATATATTGGTAAAGGCGGCGGAAAATGCTCAGTTGATTCTGTTGGTACAGCAACGTTGCATAATTCACAGCTCTTACCCCACACTCATCACAGACTGAAATATGTTAGTTGAGACTGATAAAATTCAGGGTGTTTTCCAGGGTTCGATCCTTTGACCTAAATTGTTCCTAATTTTCATGAATGACCTTCCTGATGTCACCAGTTCTCAACTCGGTAGCTATGCTCTTGACTAATCCTGTCTTAATAATAAGTCTTATCCCATTTGATACAGTCAAATTGTCAGCTGATCTCAATAAAGACCTGTAATTTTTTGTTAACTGAGGCAAGGAATGGCATGTCAATTTTAAAGCCCCAAAACGAAACAGCTCACTTTTAATCATCTGAGAGAACCTGTTTAGCCTTCCGTCAGTAGGGCTGATGCTAATATTCAGGAGAGTGACTCACCTCTCCACCGGCACCTCTCGCAACGAGAAGACTCCACCGGCACCTCTCGCAGCAAGAAGAATCAGCCGGCACCTCTCGCAGCAAGATGACTCCACTGGCACCTCTAGGCAGCGAGAAGACCCCACCGGCACCACTCGAAGGAAGAAGACTCCACGGGCACAAGTCGCAACGAAAAAACTCCACCGGCACCACTTGCAGCAAGAAGACTCACCCGGCACAACTTACAGCGAGAAGTCTACCACGGTATCTCTGGCAGCGAGAAGACGCCACCGGCACCTCTCGGAGCGAGAAGACTCCACCGGCATCTCTCGCAGCGGGAAGACTCCACCGGCACCTATCGCAGCAAGAAGAATTCACCGGCGCCTATCGCAGCCAGAAGACTCCACCGGCAGCTCTCGCAGCAAGAAGAGTCCACCGGCACAGCTCGAAGCGAGAAGACTCACCCGGCACCTCTCGCAGCAAGAAGGCTCCGCCGGCACCTCTCGCAGCAAGATGAATCTACCGGCACCTCTCGCAGCAAGATGACACCCGCGGCACCACTCACAACGAGAATACTCCGGCACCTCTCGCAGCGAGATGACTCCCCCGGCACCACTCGCAACGAGAAGAGTCCACCGGCACCTCTCGCAGCTAGAAGACTCCACTGGCACTTCTCGAAGCGAGAAGACTTCCCCGGCACCTGTCGCAGTGAGAAGACGCCACCGGGACCTCTCGCAGCAAGAAGACTCCCGCGGCACCTCTCGCAGCAAGAAGACTCCACCGGCACCTCTAGCAGCAAGAATAGTCCGCCGGCACCTCTCGCAGCGCGAAGACTCCGCCGGCACCTCTCGCAGCGCGAAGACTCCCCCGGCACCTCTCGCAACGAGAAGACTCCACCAGCACCTCTCGCAGCTAGAAGAGTCCACCGGCACTTCTCGAAGCGAGAAGACTCCCCCGGCACCTCTCGCAACGAGAAGATTCCACCGGCACCTCTCGTAGCGCGAAGACTCCCCCGGCACCTCTCGCAGCAAGAAAACTCCACCGGCACCTCTCGTAGTGAGAAGACGACACCGGCACCTCTCGCAGTAAGAAGACTCCACCGGCACCTCTCGCAGCGCGAAGACTCCCGCGGCACCTCTCGAAGCGAGAAGACTCCCCCGGCACCTCTCGCAGCAAGAAGACTCCACCGGCACCTCTCGTAGTGAGAAGACGACACCGGCACCTCTCGCAGCAAGAAGACTCCACCGGCACCTCTCGCAGCAAGAAGACTCCACCGGCACCTTTGGCAGCAAGAAGACTCATCCGGCACCTCCTACAGCGTGAAGTCTCCCCCTGCATCTCTGGCAGCGAGAAGACGCCACCGGCACCTCTCGGAGCGAGAATACTCCACCGGCACCTCTCGCAGTGAGAAAACTCCACCGGCACCTCTCGCAGCAAGAAGACTCCACCGGCACCTCTCGTAGTGAGAAGACGACACCGGCACCTCTCGCAGCAAGAAGACTCCACCGGCACCTCTAGCAGCAAGAAGACTCCACCGGCACCTTTGGCAGCAAGAAGACTCATCCGGCACCTCCTACAGCGTGAAGTCTACCCCTGCATCTCTGGCAGCGAGAAGACGCCACCGGCACCTATCGGAGCGAGAAGACTCCACCTGCACCTCTCGCAGTGATAAAACTCCAACGGCATCTATCGCAGCAAGAAGATTCACCGGTACCTATCGCAGCCAGAAGACTCCACCGGCACCTCTCGTAGCAAGAAGAGTCCACCGTCACCTCTCGCCACGAGAAGATTCCACCGGCACCTCTCGCAGCAAGATGACTCCACCGGCACCTCTCGCAGCAAGATGACTCCACCGGAAGCCCTCGCAGCGAGAAGACTCCCCTGGCACCTCTCGCAACGAGAAGACTCCACCGGCACCTATCGCGGCAAGAAGACTCCACCGTCACCTCTCGCGGAGAGAAGACTCCAGCGTCACCTATCTCAGCAAGAAGAGTCCACCGGCACCTCTGGAAACGAGAAGACACCCGCCGCACAACTCGCAACGGGAATACTCCGGCACCTTTCAAAGCGAAAGTTGCCGGTGGAGTCTTCTCGCTCCGAGAGGTTCCAGAGATGCCGGGGTAGACCGCTGTAAGAGGTGCCAGGTGAGTCTTCTTGCTGCAAGTGGTGCCGGTAGAGTTCTTTCGTTGCGACATGTGCCGGTGGAGTTTTCTTCCTGAGAGTGGTGCCGGTGGAGTCTTCTCGCTGCCTAGAGGTGCCGGTGGAGTCTTCTCGTTGCGAGAGGTGCCGGTGGAGTCTTCTCGTTGCGAGAGGTGCCGGTGGAGTCTTCTTGCTTCGAGAGGTGCCGTTGGAGTCTTTCCGCTGCGAGAGGTGCCGGTGGAATCTTCTCGTTGCGAGAGGTGCCGGGGGAGTCTTCTCGCTTCGAGAAGTGAGTCACTTTCCTGAATGTTAGCATCAGCCATACTGACGGAAGGTTAAACAGGTTCTCTCAGACGATTAAAAAGTTTCGTTTTGGGGCGTTAAAATTGACAAGCCATTCCTTGCCTCAGTTAACAACAAATTGCACGTCTTTATTGAGATCAGCTGACAATTTGACTGTATCGAAGACGCAATCGAAAGACATATTATTAAGACAGGATTAGTCAAGAGCATAGATACCGAGTTGAGAACTGGTGACATCAGGAAGGTCATTCATGAAGACTCCCGCGGCACTTCTCGCAGCGAGAAGACTCCACCTGAAGATCTCGCAGCGGGAACACTCCCCCGGCACCTCTCGCAGCGGGAAGACTCCACCGGCACGTCTCGCAGCAAGAAGAATCCACCGACACCTCTCGCAGCGAGAAGACTCCACCGGCAGCTCACGCAGGAAGAAGACTCCACCGACACCTCTCGCAGCGGGAAGACTCCACCGGCACATCTCGCAGCAAGAAGACTCCACCGACACCTCTCGCAGCGAGAAAAATCCACCGGCAGCTCACGCAGGAAGAAGACTCCACCGACACCTCTCGCAGCGAGAAGACTCCACCGGCACCTCTCGCAGCAAGATGAATCCACCGGCACCTCTCGCAGCAACATGTCTCCACCGGCACCACTCGCTACGAGAATACTCCGGCACCTCTCGCAGCGAGAGACACCCCGGCACCACTCGCAACTAGAAGAGTCAACCGGCACCTATCGCAGCTAGAACACTCCACCGGCACTTCTCGAAGCGAGAAAACACCCCCGGCACCTCTCGCTGTGAGAAGACGCTACCGGCATCTCTCGCAGCAAGAAGACTCCCGCGGCACCTCTCGGAGCGAGAAGACTCCACCGGCACCTCTCGTAGCAAGAAGACTCCCGCGGCACCTCTCGGAGCGAGAAGACTCCACCGGCACCTCTCGCAGCAAGAAGACTCCACCGACACATCTCGCAGCTAGAAGACTCCACCGGCAGCTCACGCAGCAAGAAGAATCTTCCGACACATCTCGCAGCGAGAAGACTCCACGGGCAACTCTCGCAGCGGGAAGACACCCGCGGCAACTCTCGCAACGACAATACTCCAACGGCACCTCTCGCAGCGTGATGACTCGCCCGGCACGACTCGCAACGAAAAGACTCCACCGACACCTCTCGCAGCAAGAAGATTCCCCGGCAACTCTCGCAGCGGGAAGACTCCACCGGCACCTATCGCAGAAAGAAGACTTCACCGGCACCTCTCGCAGCGAGAAGACTCCACCGGCACCTCTAGCAGCAAGAATAGTCCACCGGCACCTCTCGCAGCGCGAAGACTCCCCCGGCACCTCTCGCAAAGAGAAGACTCCACCGGCACCTTTGGCAGCAAGAAGAGTCCACCGGCACTCCTCGTGAAGAAGGAGAAGACGCCCCGGCACCTCTCGGAGCGAGAATATTCCACCGGCACCTCTCGCAGCGCAAAAACTCCACCGGCACCTCTCGCAGAAGAAGACGACCTCTCGTAGACGCCACCGGCACCTCTCGGAGCAAGAAAGCTCCACCGGCAACTTTCGCAGCAAGACGACTCCACCGGCAGCCTTTGCAGCGGAATACTCATCCGGCACCTCCCGCAGCGAGAAGTCTCCCCCAGCATCTCTCACAGCGAGAAGACGCCACCGGCACCTATCGCAACGAAAAAGACTTCCACCTGCACCTCTCGCAGCGATAAAACTCCAACGGCATCTATCGCAGCAAGAAGATTCACCGGTACCTATCGCAGCCAGAAGACTCCACCGGCACCTCTCATCGCAGCAAGAAACCGTCACCTCGCACCGGCACCTCTCGAAGCAAGAAGACTCCTCCGGCACCTCAAGATGACTCCACCGGAAGCCCTCGCAGCGAAAGTCCCCTCACCTCTCGCAGGACCTCTCGCAACGAGAAGACTCCGCGGCACTTCTCGCAGCGAGAAAACCCGCCGCACAACTCGCAGGCACCTTTCAAAGCAGCCGGTGAAGACTCCCCGGCACCTTCAGAGATGCCGGGGTGAACCGCTGTAAGACTCCAGGTGGCTTCTTGCGCAGCAATAGAGATTCGTTGCGACTGGCACCTCTCCTGAAGAAGAAGACGGTGGAGTCCCGCGGCAACAGTAGCAACGTTGAATGTGCCGGCACTCCTCTCGCCAGATGACTCCACCGGCCGGTGGACCTTTCCGCTGCGAGAGGTGCAGTGAGAAGACTTCTCGCCACCGGCATCAGCCATACTGACGGAAGGTTAAACAGGTTCTCTCAGACGATTAAAAAGTTTCGTTTTGGGGCGTTAAAATTGACAAGCCATTCCTTGCCTCAGTTAACAACAAATTGCACGTCTTTATTGAGATCAGCTGACAATTTGACTGTATCGAACGCAATCCTCTCGCAGGATTAGAGAAGAGCATAGATACCGGTTGAGAACTGGTGACATCAGGAAGGTCATTCATGAAGACTCCACCGACACCTCTCGCAGCGTGAAGACTCCACCGGCTCGCACCTCTCCCCCGCACCTCTCGGAAGACTCCACCGGCAACTCTCGCAGCAAGAAAAATCCACCGACACCTCTCGCAGCGAGAAGACTCACCGGCAGCTCACGCAGGAAGAAGACTCCACCGACACCTCTCACAGCGGGAAGACTCCACCGGCACCTCTCGCAGGCGGAAGACACCCTCTCGGCAACTCCACCGGCAAACGCAGAATAGTCCAACGGCACATCTCGAAGCGAGATGACTCCCCGGCACCTGCCACAGCAAGAAGACTCCACCAGCACCTCTCGCAGCAACATGTCTCCACCGGCCCCCGGCACCTGTCGCAGCGGGAAAAACTCCACCGGCACCACTCGCAGAAAGAAGAATCCGGCACCTATCGCAGCGAGAACACTCCACCGGCACTTCTCGCAGCGAGAAAAATCCCCGGCACCTCTCGCTGCGAGAAGATTCTACCGGCACCTCTCGCAGCAAAAAACTCCACCGGCACCTATCGCAGCAAGAAGACTCCCGCGGTACCTCTCGGGCGATCCACCGGCACCTCTCGCAGAAGAATCCACCGACACATCTCGCAGCTAGAATACTCCACCGGCAGCTCACGCAGCAAGAAGAATCTTCCGACACATCTCGCAGCAAGAAGACTCCACCGGCACCTCTCGCAGCAAGAAGACTCCACCGGCAACTCTCGCAACAAGATGACACCTCTCGCAGCACCTCTCCAGCACAAGAAAACACCCTCCGACACCTCTCGGAGCAAGAAGATTCCCCCGGCAACCTCTTGCAGGGAAGACTCCACCGGCACCTATCGCAAAAGAAGAAGGCACCTCCACCGGCACCTCCACCGCTCTAGCAGCAAGAATAGTCCACAGGCACCTCTCGCAGCGCGGAGACTCCCCAGCACCTCTCGCAAAAAGAAGACTCCACCAGCACCTCTTGCAGCTAAAGAACCGGCACTTCTCCACCGGCACCTCTCGCAACGAGAAGATTCCACCGGCACCTCTCGCGGCGCAAAGACTCCACCGGGAAGACTCCACCGGCACCTCTCTCGCAGCAAGAAGGCACTCCAGACGACCTCTCGCAGAAAGAAGAATAAACCTGCTCCTCTCGCAGCGAGAAGACTCCCCCAGCACCTCTCGCAGCAAAAAGACCTCCACCGACACCTCTCGCAGCGAGAAGACTCCACCAGCAACTATCGCAGCAAGATGGCACCTCTCACCGGCACCTCTTGCAGCAAGAAGTCGCCCCTGGACCTCTCGCAACGAGAGACTTTCCACTTCTCGCAGCGACCTCTCTCGCAGCGAGAAGACTCCCCGGCACCTCTCGCAACGAAGACTCTAAGGCTTTCCACAATAATTTCACTGGCACCTCTCGAAGCGAGAAGACTCCCGCGGCAACAGTAGCAACGTGAATGCTCCGGCACCTCTCGCAGCGAGATGACTCCACCGACACCTCTCGCAGTGAGAAGACGCCACCGGCACCTCTCGAAACAAGAAGACTCCCGTGGCACCTCTCGAAGCGAGAGGACTCTCCCGGCACCTCTCGCAGCGAGAAGACTCCACCGGCAGCTCACGCAGAATGAAGACTCCACCGACACCTCTCGCAGCGTGAAGACTCCACCGGCACCTCTCGCAGCTGGAAGACTCCCGCGGCAACTCTCGCAGCAAGAAAACTCCACCGACACCTCTCGCAGCGAGAAGACTCTATCGCAGCCGCAGAAGAACTCCACCGACACTTCTCACAGGGAGAAGACTCCAGGCACCTCACCGGAAGACACCCTCGGCAACTCTCGCAAAAGAATAGTCCAACGGCACATCTCGCAGAAGCAGAGATGACTCGCCCGGCACCTGCAAGCAAGAAGACTCCACCAGCACCTCTCGCAGCAAGAATACTCCCCCGACCTGTCGCGGGAAAACTCCACCGGCACCTCTCTCGAAAGAAGAATTCCCCCGGCACCTCTCGCAGTGAGAAAACTTCCCCGGCACCTCTCGCAGCAAGAAGACTCCACCGGCACCTCTCGCAGCGAGAAGACTCCACCGGCCCTCTCGCAAACAAGAAGACTTCACCGGCACCTCTAGCTGCAAGAATAGTCCCGCGGCACCTCTCGCAGCGCGAGACTCCACCGGCACCTCTCGCAGCAAGATGACTCCCCCGGCACCTCTTGCAGCAAGAAGTCTCCACCGGCACCTCTCGCAACTAGAAGATTCCACCCGCACCTCTCGCAGCGGGAAGACTCCACCGGCACCTCTCGCAGCAAGAAGACTCCACCGGCACCTCTCGCAGAAAGAAGAATAAACCTGCACCTCTCGCAGCTAGAAGACTCCCCCGGCACCTCTCGCAGCAAAAAGACTCCACCGACACCTCTCGCAGCGAGAAGACTCCAGCAGCAACTCTCGCAGCAAGATGACTCCACCGGCACCTCTCGCAACGAGAAGACTCCATCGGCACCTCTCGCAGCTACAGGGCTCCACCGGCACTTCTCGAAGCGAGAAGACTCCCCCGACACCTCTCGCAGTGAGAAGACGCCACCGGCACCTCTCGCAACAAGAAAACTCCACCGGCACCTCTCGCAGCAAGAAGACTCCACCCGGCACCTCCTACAGCGAGAAGTCTACACCTGCATCTCTGGCAGCGAGAAGACGCCACCGGCACCTCTCGTAGCGAGAAGACTTCACCGGCAACTTTCGCAGCGAGAAGACTCCACCGGCAACTTTCGCAGCGAGAAGACTCCACCGGCAGCTCTCGCAGCGAGAAGAATCCCCCGGCACCTCTCGCAACGAGAAGATTCCACCGGCACCTCTCGCAGTGGGAAAACTCCACCGGCACCTATCGCAGCAAGAAGACTTCACCGGTACCTATCGCAGCCAGAAGAATCCACCGGCACATCTCGCAGCAAGAATAGTTCACCGGCACCTCTAGAAGCGAGAAGAATTCCCCGGCACATCTCGCAGCAAGAAGACTCCACCGGCACCTCTCGCAGCAAGATGACTCCACCGGCACCTCTCGCAACAAGATGACTCTCCCGGCACCTCTCGCACAAGAAAACACCCTCGGCACCTCTCGGAGCAAGAAGACTCTACCGGCACCTCTTGCAGCAAGAAGTGTCCACCGGCCCCTCTCGCAACGAGAAGACTCCACCGGCACCTCTAGCTGCAAGAATAGTCCACAGGCACCTCTCGCAGCGCGGAGACTCCACCGGCACCTCTCGGAGCAAGAAGACTCTACCGGCACCTCTTGCAGCAAGAAGTCTCCACCGGCACCTCTCGCAACGAGAAGATTCCACCCGCACCTCTCGCAGCGGGAAGACTCCACCGGCACCTATCGCAGCAAGAAGACTTCACCGGCACCTCTCGGAGCAAGAAGACTCTACCGGCACCTCTTGCAGCAAGAAGTCTCCACCGGCACCTCTCGCAGCGAGAAGATTCCACCGGCACCTCTCGCAGCGGGAAGACTCCACCGGCACCTATCGCAACAAGATGACTCTCCCGGCACCTCTCGGAGCAAGAAGACTCTACCGGCACCTCTTGCAGCAAGAAGTCTCCACCGGCATCTCTCGCAACGAGAAAACTCCACCGGCACCTCTCGCAGCGGAAAGACTCCCCCGGCACCTCTCGCAGCAAGAAGACTCCACCGGCACCTATTGCAGCAAGAAGACTCACCCGGCACCTCCTACAGCGAGAAGTCTACCCCTGCATCTCTGGCAGCGAGAAGACGCCACCGGCACCTCTCGCAGCGAGAAGAATCCCCCGGCACCTCTCGCAACGAGAAAATTCCACCGGCACCTCTCGCAGTGGGAAAACTCCACCGGCACCTATCGCAGCAAGAAGACTTCACCGGTACCTATCACAGCCAGAAGACTCCACCGGCACCTCTCGCAGCAAGAAGAGTCCACCGGCACCTCTCGAAGCGAGAATACTCCCCCGGCACCTCTCGCAGCGGGAAGACTCCCCCGGCACCTCTCGCAGCAAAAAGACTCCACCGACACCTCTCGCAGCGAGAAGACTCCACCGGCACCTCTCGCAGCAAGATGACTCCACCGGCACCACTCGCAACGAGAGACACCCCGGCACCACTCGCAACGAGAAGTGTCAACCGGCACCTATCGCAGCTAGAATACTCCGCCGGCACCTCTCGCTGTGAGAAGACGCTACCGGCATCTCTCGGAGCAAGAAGACTCCCGCGGCACCTCTCGCAGCGGGAAGACACCCGCGGCAACTCTCGCAACGAGAATACTCCAACGGCACCTCTCGCAGCGAGATGACACGCCCGGCACGACTCGCAACGAAAAGACTCCACCGACACCTCTCGCAGCAAGATGACTCGCCCGGCACCTCTCGCAGCAAGAAGACTCCACCGACACCTCTCGCAGCAAGAATACTCCCCCGGCACCTCTCGCAGCGGGAAGACTCCACTGGCACCTATCGCAGAAAGAAAAATTCACCGGCACCTCTCGCAGCGAGAAGACTCCACCGGCACCTCTAGCTGCAAGAATAGTCCACCGGCACCTCTCGCAGCGCGGAGACTCCACCAGCACCTATCGCAGCAAGAAGACTTCACCGGCACCTCTCGGAGCAAGAAGACTCTACCGGCACCTCTTGCAGCAAGAAGTCTCCACCGGCACCTCTTGCAACGAGAAGATTCCACCGGCACCTCTCGCAGCGGGAAGACTCCACCGGCACCTATCGCAGCAAGAAGACTTCACCAGCACCTCTCGAGCAAGAAGACTCTACCGGCACCTCTTGCAGCTAGAAGTCTCCACCGGCACCTCTCGCAACGAGAAAACTCCACCGGCACCTCTCGCAGCGGGAAGACTCCCCGGCATCTCTCGAAGCAAGAAGACTCCACCGGCACCTATTGCAGCAAGAAGACTCACCCGGCACCTATTACAGCGAGAAGTCTACCCCTGCAACTCTGGCAGCGAGAAGACGCCACCGGCACCTCTCGCAGCGAGAAGAATCCCCCGGCACCTCTTGCAACAAGAAAATTCCACCGGCACCTCTCGCAGTGGGAAAACTCCACCGGCACCTATCGCAGCAAGAAGACTTCACCGGTACCTATCACAGCCAGAAGACTCCACCGGCACCTCTCGCAGGAAGAAGAGTCCACCGGCACCTCTCGAAGCGAGAATACTCCCCCGGCACCTCTCGCAGCGGGAAGACTCCCCCGGCACCTCTCGCAGCAAAAAGACTCCACAGACACCTCTCGCAGCGAGAAGACTCCAGTGGCAGCTCTCGCAGCAAGATGACTCCACCGGCACCTCTCGCAGCAAGATTACTCCCGCGGCCCCACTAGCAACGAGAATACTCCGGCACCTCTCGCAGCGAGATGACTCCCCAGGCACCACTCGCAACGAAGACTCCATCGGCACCTCTCGCAACAAGAAGACTCCCCCGGCACCTCTCGGAGCAAGAAGACTCTACCGGCACCTTTTGCAGCAAGAAGTCTCCACCGGCACCTCTCGCAACGAGAAGACTCCACCGGCACCTCTCGCAGCGGGAACACTCCAGCGGCACTTCTCGCATCGACAAGACTCCACCGGAAGCCCTCCCAGCGATAAGACTCACCCGGCACCTGTCGCAGCAAGAAGACTTCACCGGCACCTATCGCAGCCAGAAGACTCCACCGGCACCTCTCGCAGCAAGAAGAGTCCACCGGCACCTCTCCAAGCTAGAAGACTCCTCCGGCACCTCTCGCAGCAAGATGACTCTCCCGGCACCTCTTGAAGCGAGAAGACACCTCCGGCACCTCTTGCAGCAAGAAGACTCCACCTGCACCTCTCGCAGCAAGATGACTCCACCGGCACCTCTCGCAGCAAGATGACTCCCCCGGCACTTATCGCAGCAAGAAGACTTCCCCTCACCTCTCGGAGCAAGAAGTCTCCACCGGCACCTCTAGCAACGAGAAGACTCCACCGGAAGCTCTCGCAGCCAGAAGACCCCCGGCACCTCTAGCAACGAGAAGACTCCCCCGGCAACTTTTCGCAGCAAGAAGAGTCCACCGGAACCTCTCGAAGCGAGAAAATTCCCGCGGCACCACTAGCAACAAGAATACTCCGGCACCTCGCTGCGAGAGGTGCCGGGGAGTCATCGGGAGAAGACTTCACCGGCAACTCTCGCAGCGGGAAGACTCCCGCGGCAACTTTCGCAACGAGAATACTCCAACGGCACCTCTCGCAGCGAGATGACTCGCCCGGCACCACTGGCCACGAGAAGACTCCACCGACACCTCTCGTAGCAAGAAGACTCCACCAGCACCACTCGCAACGAGAAGACTCCACCGGCACCTCTCGCAGCAAGAATACTCCCCCGGCACCTCTTGCAGCGGGAAGACTCCACCGGTACCTATCGCAGAAAGAAGACTTCACCGGCACCTCTCGCAGCGAGAAGACTCCACCTGCACCTCTAGCAGCAAGAAGAGTCCACCGGCACCTCTTGCAGCGGGAAGACTCCACCGGCACCTATCACAGAAAGAAGACTTCACCGGCACCTCTCGCAGCGAGATGACTCACCCGGCACCACTCGCCACGAGAAGACTCCACCGACACCTCTCGCAGCAAGAAGACTCCACCAGCACCACTCGCAACGAGAAGACTCCACCGGCACCTCTCGCAGCAAGAATACTCTCCCGGCACCTCTTGCAGCGGGAAGACTCCACCGGCACCTATCGCAGAAAGAAGACTTCACCGGCACCTCTAGCAGCAAGAAGAGTCCACCGGCACCTCTCGCAGCGAGAAGACTCCCCCGGCACCTCTCGCAGCAAAAAGTCTCCGCCGACACCTCTCGCAGCGAGAAGACTCTACTCTATACTTGGTCTTAGGTTGGTCTCAATTTTCATAAATGATTTTCCTGATGTCATCAGTTCTCAAGTCGATGTCTATGCTGATGACATAACTATTTTTTCCTCTCTTAATAATCGTGAAAAAAAAAAGGATTTCTACACGATTTTCATCAATCTGCGGTAGGCATTGCTTGCAGACAAGAGACTCAAATAAAATAAAAATGCCCGAATATTTATTAGATAAAGCATCAATTTTCGACTTTTTTTTTTTTTACTTCAATTCTACTTTATATATTCTATCCTGGGACCCATGTTGGTCTTAATTTTCCTCAGTGACCTTCCTGATGTCATCAGTTCTAAACTCTGTATCTATGCTGATGACAGCTATTTATTCCTTTCTTAATATCATGTCTGATCGGATCAATATGCTTAAATAAAAAGCTGATCGAAAAAATGAATTATGGTGTGATGTTAAATAGAGAAAGGAATGACTGGTTAATTTTAACGCCTCCAAAATGAAGCTACTCTCTTTGATACTTTTGATAGAACCATTTTTAGCATCAGTCAGCTCAGTACTGTACTGGCGCAATGTCCCATCTTTTTTTTTTCAGTTGAAATGGCTTGATTTAACCGTAAGTTCTATGCTAAGATTTTCTTTTATTTTACGTTTCGCTTATGGAACTCACTTCTGAGATGTTGTTTCCCAGTCACCTTTCAAAAATTAAATGAAATATTAATCGTTATCGTCTGTCTTTTTAATTCTTGTTCTTAATAGAATATTTTCTGATATTCTCTAGCAAGAAAGACGACAGAAAATTAATTCTATTGCTCCAGGAATGTTTCCTAATTCAGAGCTCCCAGCCCACACTCGTCCCAGAGTCAAATATTCTGGTCAAGACTGATAGGATACAAGCTGTTCCCCTAGGGCTATATCTTCGGGCATACGCTGTTCCTAATTTTCATAAATGACCTTCCTGATGTCATCAGTTCTCAACTCGATATATATGCTGTTGACATAACTATCTACTCCTGTCTTAATAGTAAGTCTTATCAGGTCAATATGGTTCAATTGGCAGCTGATCTAAAAAAGAAAAATGACCAACAATCTGTTGTTAAGTGGGGCAAGAAGGGGCTTGTTAATTTTAACACCTCAAAAACGAAGCTTTCTTTTAATCATCTGAGAAAACCGTTTCTTCCTTCCATCAGTATAGCTGATGCTACCCCACCCCCGGCCGGGATAGTGATTCATTTCACCTTCTCGAACTAAAGTTTTCGGTTGACATGGAGTGCAAAGAGTATATTAAATCTATTGCTAAGTCTTCAGCTAATAAAGTTCGTTTACTATGTCGTACAAGAGAAACTCTCTCGACAGAATCTATCTTGCATATTTATAAATCTGTCATTTGTCCTTGCTTTGAATATTGCTGCTTCATCTTGTCTGCTGGTCTTGTTATATATTTAGAGATTCTTGATAAAATCCAAAGAATCTGCAATGTCATTGGTCCTGACCTGGCATCTTTTATTCAGTCCACTTCCTATCACTGTAACCTAGCTTCACTGTGCCATTTTAAATGCTTTCATGACAATTATTCTGATGAACTTTCCTCTATGGTACTCTAGAATTTACGAATTCCAGATTAAAAAAACATCTACATGTTTTTCTTTTTTTCTTTTATTATTATCTTAATAGATACTGGGCATTTATTATTCTGCTCACCTAATAACAAATATCGTTGGACCTACGTTGGTCTCAATTTTCATAAATGACCTTCCTGATGTCATCAGTTCCAAACTCTATATCTATGATACAGATATTTACTCCTGTCTTAATAGTAAGTCTTTGTCGGTCCGATAAGGTCAAATTGGCAGCTGATCTCATACATTACCTACGATCCCAATCTGTTGTTAACTGGGACAAGGAATGGCTTGTTAAATCTTTCTGACTCCAAAACGAATTACTTCTCTTTTAATCGTATTTCATTTTTGGAGTCAGAAACGAATTACTTCTCTTATTTAATCGAGGGGCTCAAACTCGATTTGGTTGTTGCCCGGGTATTCCTCGGACGGCGGCGCCCATCACGAGCGGTATTTTAAAATGAGAAATATGTTTGAGAATGTGGAGATGGATGATGTTCTCTCTTTCTTGAGAGAGACACGGTTATATCCAAAAATATAATTATCTCGTCATAACCCAGAATATTCAACCGATCAAGTTTGATATACCATAAAAACCCAAACAATCAACTTACTTTTGTATAAAATTACATTGGGCCTTTATTCACGGCAAATAAAACTGGTAGTGAAAAATTACCTCAATTGGCTATGCAAATGAATTAGCTTCTTTAATATAAATAATTAACTCATGCCAGATAGCAGGGACGTTATCCTTAAATTATGTTTACAAAGTATATATATTTAATATATATGTGCAAACTGGATTTGGCATTAAATAAACTCATAGTGGTTGATATGCCATAAAACCCC